CATATTTACAAGATACCGCGTGCCCGCGGCGTCTAAGAATGACCTTAAGGGAAGTGCATTGTAATTGGGTCAATAAAAATAGATTGAGAAATATGCATCGTTTTCTCTCAAATGAAACAGCAAATATACAAACGATGAAACATAAGATGGATTTAAGAAAGTCTTAAACAGCATTATATAAATTACACATAGGTTTGTGGGTAACAGTAAAAATATCATCCCGAGGAAAACACTGTTACCCGAGGCGTAGCCAAGGGCAACAGTATATATACGAGGGATGATATTTTTACTGTTACCCACAAACCCATGTGTTATTAATTTTATTACCCCGAACAAATAATACTGTGATTATCTGAATTTGTCAACAAAATCATACTGTAACAAAAATAAACCAACAGAAGCAATTACTAAACTGTCCTTACCTTGCAAGTTTTAAGTGTACTGTAGGCCTACTTGAGAAGCTGTTTTTTTTTTTTTTTGTTGTTGTTTTTTTATTCTTTAGGCAAGTGATGATATCTACCAGTCAAAAACATAAAATAAGCTGTGTTTTATTTAGAAAACAAAACACTAACCCATTTAAAAGGTTATGATCTGTGAAATCTGATCCTTCTGCATCCAAAATATTCTTCTCATGGTTTTTGACAAAGTACATTTAGCAAAAAACGATGATATCCTACAGATGTCTGTCCACCAACTCTATCTGTGACGTTTCACTTGTTAAAATTGTTAAATAATCCTTTGTTGCATGCTTTAATCGTCTGCATGTTCCAGTTTGACACAAAATTATTCACATTACAATTACTTCCGTTGAAAGCGGATGTTTCCTTTTGACTATTCAACAAAAAGATATTTTATACGCGAAAGGAACTCTAGGGTGCAAAGAACTAAATTTTATGACAGTAATAGTTATTTCGGCGATGCCCTATCGTTGAAAATAAAAATGAATCGAGAAAAAATGGCAGCCATTTTATTTAGAAAACTAGACCACGTGACCAGATTTTATACTGTTAAAAAATACTGTTATAACCTATGTAACAGTACAAAATTCTTAGTCACGTGGTATACTTGCATTAACAGTAAGAATAACTCCCAGAGGCCTATGGGAAATTAACATTACGAAAAATGTGAGGGGTAATAATAACATCTGTCTCCTTACATCATTTTACAAGACAATGTGAACAAACATATAGACGATAATTTAATAATAATATAATTATATTGTAAATACTGTTCCTGTGTTGGCTTTAAAGGATTCTGTGATGTATTTTATCAACATTTCCTTTTGACATAACTCATTACAAATGTCGCAGTTGAAAAATATCATTCTGCTATCCTTTGTATGTAAAATTACATTATTAATTATGAGTAAACTATCTACAGGATAGCCACATACTACTGCATTATCTGAAAAATAGATCTTAATTTTAAAATTCTAATGTGATCAAAGTTCTTCTAACATAAAATAAAATACTTATTGTGGTATTGTGTACAAAAGTATACAGAATTTGTACCAAGTTAAGCAACTATTGAAGATGTTATTTTTTCTTTACTCAATAAGGCAATTTTTCTTCGTTCAGAAAAAAGCTTTATTCACATATAAATCCCCTGTGACAAAAAGGTAAAGCAAATTAGATAAAACTACCAGATTCTAGGATGATCAACGTCTGCAAGATGTATTATTACAATATTATCAATTGTTCTTAATTCAATACATTTATAACATTACTCGGGACAGACATGATTATTGTCATTTCCTGCTTTATTATAATTATCCTTCTGATTATCTTTGGGACGTATGGTTCATGTGAACATCAAATGGAATGATTTATGTGTCGAACCTTTTGCCAGTTGACTGATGGTGTCTCGTCTACTACATTGAATTACAAATTGTCATATCAGAAGTTGAAATTAAAGGATTTCATTTCCTATTGATTCGCTCTTTCTGCTAGTGGCATTGCATTCTTTATTTGTACTTGACTTGAAAGAATTAGGATTTTAACGATTAATTTATGTTGTAAACGCTTTTGATGTGAATTGTTGTTCGTTCTAAAACAGCTTTTTTCTTTATTTTTTGTATGAAGTTGAATGCAATATAGCAACTGGATTCGGATAGTTGTCCCGCTAGCATGCAATATCTTCGTACGATGAGACAAATGATGATTATTTATGAAAATGCATTAAACGTTATCAATTTCATATTGATAATTGATGTGTTTCAAAAAAAAAAGTCGTAGAGGCAATTTAGCTAAAGCTATGTATTTGTGATTTCATTACTTTCTGTTATAACTGAAAACTTTTTTATGTCTGGAAAAAATAGAAACATTATATTATAGCTGATGCGTTTTGGAGTCTTGATTCTTTACTGATGTTGAGTTTTGTTTTATGTCGTTTGAAATACACCTACGTAAGGGTTATTTCTTGTCTACATTATTTCTCTGCTTCATTAATTCAGGATGTTTTAAAATCATGATTTATTCATGAGTTTGATTTTGTTCATATTTATTCATTAATATTTTGATATAAATATCAAAAGCATCAAGACATCAGTAACAGTTCAGATATAGCAAATGACATTTTGCTCATTTTTAAAATTCCAATGATGAAAATGTCTCTGTTTCATGCAAGAACATTTCAATATTATAATATCTTTTCTGGTCATTCGGGATCATGATTCGATTAAATTTTGCGTTGAATATTGAACATTGTTAAATAATGTTGAAGTATGGAAAGAGAGGGGCGTGAGAGATGTAACGCTTTACATTTCATATCTCTCATTCAAGCTACCTGCCTTCAAATGAGCAAAACAAATTTTAAAAAAAATCAAATTATTAATTATTATGACTTCAAGAAAAGTAATAGTATTCACAATTCAATAAATTATTTATATTGAGACTCGCATGAAAGATCAGGAAACCGAATGTGTTAGCCACATTAAATAACGTCGTTACTTACCTACCTACTTACTTACTGGCTTGCTTGCTTGCTTACTTACCTTCTTACTTACTTACTTACTTACTTATTTACTTACTTACGTACTTACTTACGTACTTACTTACTTACTTACTTACTAACTTGCTTACTTACTTACTTACTTACTTACTTACTTACTTACTTACTTACTTACTTAATTACTTACTTACTTGCTTACTTGCTTGCTTACTTACTTATATACTTACTTACTTACTTAATTACTTACTTTCTTGATTGCTTCTTTGTTTGCTTACTTGCTTGCTTGCTTGCTTGCTTGCTTGCTTGCCTGTCTGCCTGCCTACCTACCTACCTACTTACTTACTAACTTAAAATACTTGCTTAAAATACTTACTTTACGTGCATGCTTTGTGCAATGAATGGCTGATTTTGCAAAATTTATCAACATATTTCTACCGGTCTATTAACGCAGTAAAGGCTAATTCGCATATCATGAGCTATTTAAGGTACTGTTTGCAGTGTGAAAATAACTTTCTTTGTTCATTTGACAATATGTACTTTTAATACATTTTCAAATTTTTCATGAATATTAGCATAATCTGTAAGCATGCTGTTTTAACATAAACATACTTAATGTTGATCGATCTACAATGTGCAAAGTTTCTATAAGTATTTTAGATAGTTTCGAAACAATAGAGATGTAGCATTTTGATATTCTTATGATTTCTGTAAAAAAATATGTTTTATGAGTTCTAAATTATAAAATATGAATATTTATGTGATGAATGACAATATTCATGAGTACTATAAACATTATTATCTATGATACAATCAAAGTGATATGTTATTGTCATATTCATGATATTGTCTCAAAAGGATGTATTTTTTTGTCTTTGTAATTTTCATGTTATTTTGTTGTGTTTAATTCTTCCGGGGGATCACATTTTATCCAGAAATTTTATACTTCCAAACATCAGGTGTCAAGTGCCATTTGGAAACTGTAAAAAGTTGCCCCGTATTTCACTTTAGGGTTGTTATATTTTTCTCGTCCTTCGGGATCATTGTTTTCAGCACGTGTTGCAAATTGAGTGTCGCTCAAGCCGGTGCTTAGGGCCATTATGTTGTATTTTTTCCATTATCCCTCATCTACAGACTCAATCAAACCTTGTCTGCAATGTTCGTGTAATTTTTGTTGTGATTAATGCTTCAGAGGGAGCACATTTTATCCAGATGTTTGTATCGTAATACTACTTATATAATGCTCAACTGATTTGGATCATTCAGTGGTGAATATTAATTCAACATATCTGCTAGTTAAATTATAGCATTACAGTACTCTGTAAGTGCTTCCTCGTGCTTCCACATGTTGATGTAAATAATGCATGGAAGGGCACCTTAGGTCTTCCTCCACCAGTAAAGCAGGAACCTATATTGTGTCGATGTGACGTTAAACCCAACCAAACAAATAAACATGTTGATGTACGTAAACAAAGCATCAACCCTCCAATATTGTAATGAAATGGGATAAGAATGGTGAAAAATAAAAACTTTGAACAATGGTTCGGATAATATTCAAAAAGCTCACACTGAATTTATGTTTGTCCATTAATTTGACTCGTTTAACTATGTCATGGAATAATTCAATGATGGTTAATGTAACGATGCAAAATAATTCAGTTCTCGTAAAAAATCCATTAACATAAAGTATCAACATCTTCAGCTGACTACTAGTATTACTTTTTTTAAATTAATATCATTTCTACTTTTTATATGTAAATATACATTAACAATGCATATGTACGGCTCTGTAATGTATTATAATAATTGAATAATACCATTCTTTGTTTTAGTACAATAAATCTTGCCGTTGTTCTTTATCTTAATGTAGATTATTTTCATCAATTGGTACGAATTAAGTACATATTTATTTTGTATGAACATGAGCAAGATCATAAACAAGCAGATGATCCACTCATGCTTAGAAGAGCTCATCTCAATAACTCGGGAAAACTTTCTCGAAAGTACATCGTTTGAAAACCTATTTGGAATAAAATAATAGCAAAGCCACAAAATTAGTATGTTTTAGTTTTAATCAAAGCAGATTATACAAGCGACAAAATATGTGAGAGGAGTCGAAACTTATTTTCCGACTGGACCAGGAATACTGGAAGACATAAATTCAATAGAGTAGAGTGACAGGGCACCTGCCCCCGTGCTAATAACATACACAAGAGGACTATCTGTAGGACTTTGGTCGCTCGGGATGATTCTGTAAATAGTAATAATTTCATCACATCAGTTAGATATTCTATTTAAGGACGGAACTACTCTTATGACTGGGGTATCATTTATAATGACAGAATGTCGTGTCCTTAATTTCCATAAACTTAATAACCACATGTGTATGATAATAAAACCTTAGACAATTTGAATAACGATATTTGATACAGCACAACTACTTTGCATAATGGTACAGATATTGTTAAAAGGTATTTGCATTTAGTTTATTTTCTCCAATTTGTTTTTTCTATTCAATGTTTTATCTCCCATGAATATAATAAAATGATAACATGGTCTTTTGAAAGACACTTGTAAGACTATATATTTAGTAGTTATGCTCCTTAACGCATTTAACTTAAAGTATATAACTTACCTGCGTTTTTTAATTACAGTTAACAAATAATCCTATTTCTTAACTGAATAATTTTTATAATCCAGGAAATGCAGTATTTTTTATTTATTTTAAAAACATACCCAATGTCAGTTATATACAGATCGCCAACAGTTTGGTTTTGGTACAAATCTCTCCACGGTAGGTCTGTTATACCGGCTCTTACAACACTCTGAAATTGTGGTAAAGGTTGTCCGGTACTTAAGTCAACGGTGTACGTATATAACGTTCCTGTACTCCATGTGCCAACAACCAGAAATGTCGTTCCATTGTCTTCAGCGATATCCAGACCTGTTACTTTCGCTCCCTGTTCGGTAAATTACAATACGATTATGTGTGTATTAAGTGAAAATTCCATAAGCTTATGCAGTAAAAACTCTAAAAACCGGACCCTTTGAAAACCGGAATCATCTGAAAACCGGACGATTTTCAAAGTCCCGTATTTTCTCCTTACAAATTCATTAAAAAAATCCTCTAAAAACCGGAACCTCTGAATTCCGAAAACCGGACATTTTTCTATAACTATAAAGCTAAACTTGCATAAAAATCCTCTGAAAACTGAACTTTTGGTCAAGTCCGGACAGGGTCCGGTTTTCAGAGATTTTACTGTATACCGTTACCTAACTAATAACATTACAGTTAATATATAATGAAGTATTAGTTACACGCTTTTCACAACGATATTTCAGACTTGTTATTAATACTCGATGCTAGATACTATATGATACTCTTTTACTCCTTTGCGATTTTTTTTTTGAAGTTCCTTTCGTTTACTGTATACAAAATTACGTATTTTCCTTTTATCAGCTCGTGGCAATACTTCAAATCCGACATGTAAAATACATTTCTCATATCTTAATATAAGTATTGTGTATATAATGTATCACATTAGGTACTGTGTATATATAATCAGTTATTTATTATGAAATGAGAAATTACCTGTTTATAGGATACGGCATCTCTGTGCTGCTCAGGTGACTGGTAATACAAATTAGAAATGTAGTCGGTGTTAAAAACTTTTTTGTCAAAGGCTTCCATATATTCCTCAAGCGTACCGTCACTGTCATATACTGGGCTAGCGAGATTACTTGAGTCCCATATAGAGAACCCTCGGCCACCAAATGCCTCTAGATGCATGTATTGTCCATTAAATGGATCCTTTCCATCAACTGTACTAACTTGAAGTCGACCTGAGATTACCATTAAAGTATCGTTATCAATCACAATTTTTTTCTATCCCGTACTATAGATTTGGATGTCAGTTGATATTTAGCAAATTGTTATGTAGAATGTAATGTACCAACAATAAAAAGTGAATATGTATGTCATTTAAAAGCAGTATAATGAAAGTAGTATTTATTGTTTGACAAACTGCTCGCTATTAGATAGCTTAATTGATACATTTGTAATGTTGTTAGTTACACATCCTGTGGAAAATACTCGTACACACGTACCTAGCATTTCGTCATTGTTAACGTTCGCTATTAGGTCTGTTTCTGATGCACTGATAGATTTTACTGCAAATCAATAAAGGATATATATCTCGCCTGGTTTATGTAAAGCATATTGAAATGATATAATATCTGTTTTCTTACTCTAAAATGAAATTGTCAATTTCATTCAATTTCATTTGCATTGTACAGTTTTACATTACAAAAATAAAAGGGCTGTCAGTTTTTATGAGTGCTATACTAATTTGACTGTTAATCAATTCAATTCAATTGAAAGTATCCAACTATAATTACATTCTGTGCATAAATTAAGCAAACAATAAAAATTGTCACGATTGTACAGGTGTTTTTTTTAAAAATAATTTATTGTTTCATTGTTATCATCTTAAGGATGCTCGAAGATCGTCATAAGTTGAACAAGCAACGATGTACCTATAGATTTTGCAGCAGTCATGTCAGTCCAGACTTTTCCATGTATAGCATTTGTCATAGTCTTCACAGCACCTTCATCCGCAGTAAATAGAAACTTTTTTCTGCCAATTTCTATTGATTTTATCACACCTGGCTGACGCAATGATTGTAGTCCAGAAAACATTCTCCTGTGAACACCTATTGTCATACAAAATACACGTCATTTACAAATATACTTTTATTTTATTATTCAATATTGTGATGCGGACAATCTACATACAGTATAACATTTTCTTGTTAAACTGTCCCCGTCTACTATATCCGGTTTTAGTTTTTACACTGACAACATGAAAACTGCTTATAATAAATCTTACTAAATGTGCATGAGCTGTATTTTGTATTTAGAAAACAACAATTATATCAGTACAACAGACTGCGAAGCTTAATAAAAGCTTCGGTGTTCACGGTATGCTTTAAATCTTAATTTTAAATTTACATATTTTGGAAATTTCTGTTTCTAGCGTAATGTAAATTTTATGTACTTCTATGACAATCTTTAATAACGATTTTAAGATATCCTTTTGTTGATTTAATATTCAAATATTTTAAGATTTTCTAGGAAGTGGGTTAAGACTTGACACTATTGCAATATCTATATCTATCACGGCGACACCGTCATTCTCATATAAACATATTTCTGACTTATTCAATCGTAGTAATTCTATTTAATGGCAAAAAAGAAGGAAAATAAAATATGTCGTCTGAATGGACCTGCAAACCAAAGCGTAACGGGAAAAGCTAAGCAACAATAAGTGTGATATTAATGATATTAACACCACTGCTAACGGTACACACAATATACATATTGATCATACTTTATCTTTTTATTTCTCTCTATATACAATATTATTGTTGTTTTTTTATGAATGTCGAACTTATGTATTGTTTTGGCATTTTAATATGCAATTCCAACCATATGGTGTTACCAAATTTTACAGGTTTATCTATATTGTCTTAGTTTGGTGACAAATATTGGATTATTTAGCGTTTAGTAATGGAAATGCCCAGCAACTATACTATCGACCAGCATGGAAATGCATATTGTGTATGCTGTTAAAATTGCAAGTTTCGGAAACCTGTTGAAAATGAAAGGCTTTCTATCACTTGACCAGTGTAGAAAAGAAATTTTAATATTTTAAATATTCACATCAAAATGATGTTATAAAAGAGGTATCGCCAATATTTTTCTACATGCAAACCTTTTCTTCATCCTTAAATTTCAGAAAATTACGACCGATTTCAAAGTTCGTAATTAATCGCTTGTTCGTTATAATAAGAAATAAGACATCAACTGGTCATGCGACAAACCACATAGCTGGCGCTTTCATGAGCAAAAAGCTTGAATATGTACCAGACGTGCCATTACCTCCATCTCGATCGCTTACATCAATGCCAGAAGAATCCCATGACTTTTTAGGTAATGGACTGATCTTGTCAATAACACCGTTGTTAATATTTACTTCTGCTACAGCACTGTTCTCCTGAAACATGGCATAACTTCGCAATATTATTTCTTTTTTCCTAGTACAACTCTACTATTACAAGAAGGGTGTCCAAAAATGAAACTCAATTTTAGTACACTGCAGAAAGCATCCAAAAGTACCAACTTGAGCACTCAATCGGCTCACTTGTATTGTATCATCATTTCTTACAGATTCGACTTTATAAGCACTACTAACATATCACCTTAAATTGTTAATTAGAAATATCATAATTTAACCTGAAGTGTGACATATGCTGTTCGACCATCTGCACTAATGGTTACATATTCTGGCTCTATATCCTGGGAAACACGTGTTCTTGGTGATATCAGATTACTAGGTATATACAGAGATGGCACCCGCAAATTTTGACTGAAACAAAGAGAACTATGATTTATGTGTGTGCGTGTAAGTAATAAAATAAAAATAAGTTAAAGAATTATCATGTTTTAAGTTCAGAAGATTAAGACTGTTTGAACAATATCTGAATTGTGTCAGTTAATACGTGTTTTATTATCTGAATTTGGTATAATCATCTTTTCCAAATACCTAGGGTATTATTATTTTTTTAATCGTGTTATTTTGATAACATTATTTACTGTTCTAAATATAACACTGCTGTCTTTGTATTTGCATCATGCACTTAAAAAATTATCTGAAACTTTCGACGTACTTGTAATTGGCTTCCCCGACATTGAATGTTGAGAAATCAACAAGCCTCACAGACGGATTGCCTGTCCTCTCACCATGAATGATAGTGACCGACCCCTCAGGATCCGTATAGGTACCACCTTCATCTTTCCCAGAAGAACCTTCGTTAGCTACGATTATTGAACCGCAGTCTTTTGTGTATTTCAAATGGTTCGGATGAGGACCAACTTTTAAATCATAAAATAAAACTTTGGTAACACAAAGAAACACAACTATAATGGGACCGACCCCTCAGGATCCGTATAGGTACCACCTTCATCTTTCCCAGAAGAACCTTCGTTAGCTACGATTATTGAACCGCAGTCTTTTGTGTATTTCAAATGGTTCGGATGAGGACCAACTTTTAAATCATAAAATAAAACTTTGGTAACACAAAGAAACACAACTATAATGGATAATTCCTATT